GGGGGGGGGGGGGGGGGGGGCGCTGCAGCCCCCTAGCCCCCCCGGTTGCTACGGCCCTGTATTATGAAGTTGTGGCCAGTGAGCTGGATATCCGAGTTGTTTTAATATTAATATTTCTTGGTGCTTGAAAATAATGTCGTTTGAGCACCGCGTAATGGGTAATAAAGTAAAAGCTAAATTCGCTCAATAGGACGGTGCCTGACGTGGTTCCTGAGAGAGGTTTTACCGTTTTAGTCTCTGGCGTTCGTCATAGTTTCTGTACTACCTATAGATACTGCGCCACCATGCATGCATGCACACTAACTGATCTCTGGTCGCGAGGCTCCAGTGTAGGGCTCTCCGTCTCCTATTCATGGCTTTTCCGATGACCGTCCATTAATTGTTACGAGATGGCGTCTTAACTATAGGCAGTATAGCGCTTCATTATTCTCTCTCCACTTCCGTTCGGCTTTTGCTTGAGGGCTTTAGTTGTGATCTTGGTCCCTTAATCACTATTAACCGTGCTTAATCTACGGTTACTGCCTGGTATATAATCAGTCGTGCCACCTTACTCACGCGCTGTTAGCCTGTTAGCGCGTACTAAATTGAAGTTAAGTAAACCCGAAATTCATAACATCGGTCGTTTCATCATTGTCCGCTTTGAATAACAGAACTGGCATTTATTTTTAAACGAAAAACGTCGAAAATGCTATCTTTTGATCAAATTAAACTAGCACTTAACTGTACACGACTTCAGGAATCAAATATTAGTTCCAATTAATCTCTATGAATGCCCATGCATATATATGGCCTATTATAAGTTTTAGGGAAACTATAAAACTTGCTTATGCCATATAGAATCTGTACTTTTTCTCTCTTATATATATTGCATTGGAACATAATTTGTGCTTGAGTGATGCAATCCTTTCATAAATATCGTCTATTTTTTAAATACTAAAAAGTCATATTAAACTGCACAAAATCTCATTTTAATATATATCACTGCGCAAATCTCATTTACCTGATTCCCGCTAGCCTGCGTTTCTTTCTCGCCCCTTCCATTTTTCCTCGCTCTCGCCTTCGCATTCCCCCCTAGCTTTCCCTACCCTCGCCCTCCCCCCTAAATAGCGCCTGCTACGCAGGCTAGATTCCCGCTGAAGCTAGCTAACAGACGCAACAGTCTGCCAAAAATAATCAGCCGAATGACGCAGAGTCTGGAATTTTGGAGTTCTTGCCATTCTGAACAAAAGCTGAGCTATATATCCTGATTCTCGGCGACGATTTTTTCGCTCAGAAGTTTGCCTTCCTTTCTAGCTTTTCATCATTTTGCCAACGTGCTCACAAGCTAGCCGATCAATTAATTAAGCGCGGGTGAAAGCGGCTACGTTTTCAGTCATACATGTAGGAGTACATGCACGGAAAAGTTTAAATCTTTTCCGTGCGTATATACACGTACGTGTGACACTGAAGCTTTTAGGCAAAGAATGTCCAAATCTGCCATCATATAAGATTTTGGTCTTCGTGAGAAAGGCTACTGTTGTCAATTTTTATGACATCAATAATTCTGTTAACATGAAGTACGTAAGATAGTCTCGTGGGCTCAGTGTGACCATGTTTTGGGTTACAAGTTTGTATTTACAAGTGTCAGTGTGTGGCAAATAAATCATACTTGATTTTATGGAGTTTTCAAAAAATATAGACTGGTAAGAAGTATTTTAGTACTTTTGTATCCGGGGGGCAAATCATAGGACTATTTACATATATAGTAATACAGTTGTTGACACTTGGTAATGACAGTGAACTGGTAGTGATGGTGCGCTTTGACCTATTCCCAGGACCCTGCATCCAGTTTTAATACATATTTATATAAGTTTGTTTCAATTATCTGGTCACAGATTCTTTAATTGCCCTTCCATCCATTGCAGCATTGCTGAACAAATCCACACATAATGTAAGCAACCATAAAAACTATGAGAGGTGATTACCGCCAAAATTAGACAATGCAATTCGCCATTTCCCAAAGTGCGGGGTCTAGTCACACAAATCCCATGTTGGAGGGACAAGAAATATGGCAGCACACATTTGAATTAAATGTTTAATGTATTAAAAAAGGAGATATTTCATTTTTGTTTGTCTAAAAATTTGATTTTGATAGTAGATACTTCTATACTTTCACATATTTGATGCCTAGCTGTCACCATATATTTTGTCCTTCCAATCCCAGAATGCACTGTGATCTCTTGGGAAAAGGCTAATTATGCGATCTTGTGTTTGCAGTCATGCAATTGTGTTTTCAATTCATTTTGCTATTTAATTGTAGTTTATGGATACAATTAACTTTGCCATTATATTTGCTATTTTACAATTCTATTTGCCATTTCAACTGGCCAATATGCATTTTTGTGCAATTCAATATTTCAATGTCCCACAAGTAAAACAGCAAATGTTTTTGTATAAATTTGCTGAGTACAGGAGTGTGAGAACTTTGGCTATTGATCCAGCTAATCCTTAGACGTCGGATGATAGATTTTTTGACGGGGCCTTAGGTATTGACTGGTATAGTTTCTTTCTCATCTAGAGATGAGTTACAGCATTACAGTTGATTTCACATAACTTTTCTGTGAGTGTTGCGAACTTCGTTGTGAAGTTCAAAAGTTCATACTGAAATTCACAAGCCGGTTTGTAAACAAAGCCTCTGATTGGTCCCTGAACAAAAATAAGCCAATTAGAAGCTTTGTTTACAAACCGGCTTGTGAATTTCAGTAGGAACTTTTGAACTTCACAACGAAGTTCGGAACGAAGTTCGCAACATTCACAGAAAAGTTATGTGAAATCAACTGTAATAATTATCTAGACAAGAAGGAGATTAGGGGCTTGAGTTTGTAGTTGCCTCTTTCTTTAGGCAATTATAAATTCATTATAGCCCCCGGGATTATATATATTATCCCCCGGATTATATATATCATCCCGGCATGCTTCTGTGAAGTGGCAATTCGGGGTAAATACGCCAGTTAATCACTGTGGTATGTACATCAAACAAAACAGCTGGGCCAACTGTGCTATAATGTATAAGAAATGGTAGCATTGACTAAAATTATATTAAGTAATCATTTCGATAATCAAATATTTTGTAATCTAGATAAATCAAAGATAAAAAATCTGTGAAAATTTATGTGAAAGTGTAGATCCCCAAACAATTTTTGGAAACTTGGTTCCCAGGTTCTGATACTTTTTCCACCTCTACTCAAAATGCAATCTTGAGCCTACACCCAGAATGAGGTTGGATAAATAAAACATTTCCAAAGTTAACTTTTAATTATTGCATAGGAAAAGGCATGATGCTGAGACAAAGTTATGTAACTGGACATTAACAGACGAGGTGTTCAGGAATCATTCACTGCAAAAGTATTTTGACAGTGATGATCTGAAGAAGAAAAGCAAAACTAACCCCAAGCAAGGTTTTAATTTTAATTTGAGTGTATTGTAATTGTAACATGTAGTCACCGGTTTATTTTGACTCTTTGCATTGCATCCTAATGCACCCTACTTTGTTATTTTTCTTTGTTTAACACCACACAATTTTACTAATTTATAAGGCTGGTGGTCATAGGCAGCATTATCCTACAATGCATATCAGCATATGTACAACATAGTATATGGATTGTACAAATATATTGCACATGTACAAATATATGCAATCCTGTCTTAATTCTTATTAAGGACATATAAAACATTTTAATAACATGTTTACAGGACAAATTATTGCACACCAGACAAGCACTACTTGCCCATGTATATACCATATCTAATGGCACTGGTCTTTAGTCTTCAGAACTTACAGTTTATAACCTTTTCCTAGTTATCTAATCAATTTTGTAGATAAAAATACCTCAAAAGTTCCCAATATCCTCCCAAAATTACCTGAACCACAGATTCCATATCCAAAAATATCAGATTTGTCGATTGAGGACCAAAAATACTTTCTGGATACCTACAAAGAATATATTTCTGGAAAAGAAATTGGGTCTGAAAATCTTAATCAACTACAGGTATTGTAGGATATGTATAAAATTAAGTAACTTAAACCAAAGGTAATCCAGTATTAATAAAGACAGACTTATTATTTCCTTATTGCCAAATGAATTTGTGTAGCAGTTGTTGCAGTTTGAAATGTATTGCCGTTGGCATTAGCGAGGTTACAATTTGACTTCCACTGCTAGCTGCATTTGAAATATCTGAATAACCGATCAGATGTTTACTCAGCCAGCGAAAGGTAGCAGTAGTCAAATCTGAACTTCTAGTATTGGGCATGAACAACATCTAAAACTCTCATGGATTTTAATTACTCATTTCCTTTCTACTATATTATAAATTTCATAATCATTGTATTAGTAGTTGTTGTCATTGCATTTCCATCTTGCTTGCTTAGGGTTCCTAATAACAGTTGTTCATAGTTATTGTCCTTATAACATGTAAATTTTAAGAGTGTTTATTGCCACGCCCACTTAATATACCAAGCCTTAGTTTGCTAGTTCTTCTTGACGGATGACCCCTCTGTGTGCCATGTTTATACACAGAAACAAACTACGGTATCTAGTACCTTTTTTTGTCCAAGTTTGTCCAAATGGATCATCTGTCTCCAAGCAAAGTCATTGTTAATAGTGATTAATTATTCAAACAGAATAGTTATACATATTTATTTTTTTATTAACTTTGCCATCGTCATATACATACAGTGACTGGCCGGGAAACAGAAACCACAATCTCACAATTACTTTCTGTAATGACTATTATCCAAGTATTGTTTTATTGTGTGTGTAATAATTAACTGTATTTTGTAAATTGTTTATGTACTATTGGGGCCACAGTAATTGGCAATAGCTGTCAGTAATGTAGAGAATTCAAAAATATTTTTCAGAATTGTTAAAAATGTTGCAATTATAATTTTAGAACGTTTTATATCTAACACTTAATTTGAACTCTACAGCTCTCGTTACGGTAATTGTATGTCAGATCTTAAGGGTGGAAAATATGCCCTTGCCCGTTAATGATCATGAGTAGAAATTATTCTCAGAAAGGTGATTCTATTCAGAATTTAATGTGGAAGCTATCCTCAGAACAAGAAGAATTTTTAAGGTTTCTTCAGCAACATTCCTTGTCAGCAAAAGACGAATACAATTTTCTTCATCTACAAGTTAAAAAAGAAATTCAGGTAAGATGTCGTAAAGAAATTTAATGACAAATGGAACTTCGTGCTGCAACGATTCTTCCAACAATCATTGTTGTTCTCAAAGGTGGGCAAACCAGGAAACATTGTTTTGGCAACAAAAATCATACTTGTGAAAGAAAACAGGTTTCTGCATTCTTAATTTAGGAAACATTTTTGTTCATAGGATCCAAAATTTGTTTCTGCATCAATGTGTTCAAGGGGTGAATACAAAAATAAACAATGGAGGAAATATATCATTCTTCTCTAACAATGATATATGTCCTGTGGGTAGTATATACTTGGCGAAGCAAAGTTTTTTTTCAATGTTCGGATGCTCCTCGGTAACTGGACTTTGTAGCTCGGTTAGAGCGCTTCACCGGAATCGCAGTTAGGGCTGTTTGTTCGATTCCTATCAGAGGGCGTGTATAGTTGCATTTTTCGCAACTGTTCCTAATTATAGGTCTAAAATTGTATAGAAATTTACGTTCGAAAAGCTCATTTGTTGTAAGGGTAGTAAATATAATTTAACGTAGTAAATAATTTAGTCCCTCATTTGAATGACACAACAATTAAATGCAAGTTTTCAACTTCAGAAGTCAAAACTAAATCAAAATGTCTTGTGTTTTGGCGCTGGCCATGCACGTATCCCGATAAAATTGCAATCAGAATAAAGTGATTTTTTCATGTATCTTATTATCGGCGTAATTCATGAAGAGATTATTGTATATGCTCTAATACCTTTTTCTCCCATTTTGTCCTAGAACATACTTCAAACCCTAAGATGCCGCCAGGTTACAGAGAATCTAGCCGTAAGTATGACGTTCATATTTCTTAGTTCCATTTTATTTAACCGTAACTTACAGCGGGGTGGGTAATCATTTTTGAAAGCCTTTGAGTTGAATAACTGCATGTGCAACAGAGCTGTAATGATACTTTTTCAACCATGATTGGTAGACTATGAATTAATATATATTGCATGAAATTTAGGACAATTTTGGCAACTTAATTCGCCCACTCACACCCCCGCCCCAACATTTCACGAAGTGTCCGCCACTGTTCCGTATCAAAAACAGTAAAATAACTTGTCGTCTATTTCAATCCGTTCTGACTTTTTGATGTTGGGGATGCTGAAGCATAGATGGGAATGTACACCATAACAGGAATTAATAGTGGGTCCTGGCTTAGCTGGCACAGAAAATAATATATTTGTGAGCTCGGCAGAAAACTTTGACCTCAAACTTAGAATCCCAGAAACAAAAATATTATTTCCCGCATAATGTGCTCACTGAAAACTCACTTTATTTTTGGGAGTACCCCCAATCCATGCCGCTCTTTTTATTTCAGTTTTTGCAACTTTTTTTTCTTTTCAGCCTTACTACTCTCTGTTTCAAACAGTTGGTCTCTCATCTGGTGCAGTCTTTCCGAACGATCCGATTCTTTCCTACAAACAAACATTAAAGCAAGCAGTAGTGAGTATTTAGCTTCTTAAATTACAGTTGATTTCACGAAACTTTGGCCGCTCCAGTTGCGAGGTTGGTTGGGAATTTGGGAACCACAAACACGAGATCATCAAGTTGATTGGAAACCGGCCAATCAAATTCGGAAGTTTCGCATTAAATTATCGAAATTCGTTATGAAATTCCGAACCAAGTTCGCAAATTGCAAACGATTTTGACGGTAAATTTTGAAAAACTAAACTTATTGTATTAAACTTATTCATTTAATAATAAATAATATAATAATAATAATAATTTCAGGTTTAAAATTATAATAAGTTTAATACAATAAGTTTAGTTTTTAAAATTTACCGTCAAAATCGTTTGCAATTTGCGAACTTGCTTGCGAACTTGCTTGCGAACTTGGTTCGGAATTTCATAACGGATTTCGATAATTTGATGCGAAACTTCCGAATTTGATTGGCCGGTTTCCAATCAACTTGACGACAGTGCCGTAGCCAGAATGATAATAGCACAGAGTAGATAAGACATACAGAGACGTAACTGACCGTTGTAAACACTGCGGAAGATTACGTTATCATGTACCCACTTTTTTGCAGGCGACCGAGCGAAAAATGATCAACTGCGCGTGCTCAGCAAGTTTAAAGTGAGTCGTCATCAGGTCGTCATCCAATCAGATGCATGCATCTAGTAACTTGCCGAGCATGCGCACAGAAAAAGTGGGTACACTAATGACGTCTCTGTATGTCTTTACTCTGTGTTAATGATCTAGCGGAAAAACCTCTAGATGGGGACCGGGGGCATGCACCCTCCTGAAACATTTTGAAATTTAGACCCTCTGAGCGTCAAGCAAGTTTTCAACTGCCTGGAATCAAAACTTCAACCAATTAGCCATTTATACAATTAGCCATTTCTCAAAGTCCTGGGTCTAGTCGCACGAATCCCATGTTGGAGGGACAAGAAATATGGCAGCACACATTTCAATTAAATTTTTAGTGTAAAAGGAGATATTTCCACGTTTGGTTGTCTAAAAAGTTGATATTTGACGCCTGTCACCATATATTTTATTTATTTATTTTTATTTATTTATTAGTTTCGCCATATTACAATACACAAAACTATAACAAGAACAAGAATAATATACATGACTATAGGCAGGGTGACCGCAACAGCGTGAGCCAATTACTGCGGACCCTCCAAACGATCCCAGAATATGCACTGCGATCTCTTTTGGGAAAAAGCTAATAGGATTTCGGTTGGCTTAGAGTCAAGCCAAAAAGAAATGTATTCGTGCGCGAAAAAGCGAGGATGTTCCTCGCGTTTTCTATTACTATTTCTAGTTAGCGGAATTTTGGGCTTTGCGCGGGAGAGAACAGACAGTGTGTTTCGTATAAATGCATTACACCGTCCTGGAAGCATGGCTCTCTTGAATGAAGACGAAAGGTAATTCGCTCACGAGTCTTACGAACGTCCCAGGTCAAGGAAAGACTTGTCGTGTAATTATCGAAAGGGTTATTTCAAGCGACAAGCTGTATACATATTTTTTACAATTTTTAACCGAGAACAGTTGCGAAATTGAATGCACCCATTGTCCCTTGCAATCGAACCTGCGGACCTGAGATAAGTGAGATTCCGGTGCAGGGCTCTAACCACTGAATTACAGAGTCCAGTTGCCAAGAACTGATTTACCCTTGCACCACACATTGGCACATCCAAATATATACATAAAATTGTGGTTAGCTCTTGGCAACTGCGCTTTGTAGCTTGCTGGTCAAAGCACTGCACCATATATACATGAACTTGCGGTCAGAGCCGGACAACTAGACTCTGCAGCTCAGTTGGTGAGAGCTCTGTCCCGGAATCCGTGGGTCGCAGGTTCGGTTCCTGTCATATATAGTGTGTTGCATTTTTCGCAACTGCTCCTGGTTAGGTCTGAAATTGTATATAAACTTCCACTTGAAATTTCCAGTTACAAAAACCCTTCAACTGTTACAGTAGTCCTATCGAGCGAGATGCCAAAAAATCTCGATGTCATTATAGGAATCATTTAAAGAGGCTGTCAAGTCCGTTCTGCTCATGCGTGTGTTTTGTTTACATTTTTTGTGATAATTTAATTAAAATTCCGATCTGTGGGTCTCCAAGTTAGCTCATTAAGCATCCAGAATATATCACGAAGGAGAAATTGAACTACTGAAGCAAAAATATTTTCAATCTTAAATTTGTCATTTTGGAGCTAAATGTGTACAAATTTCAATCAAATTTTGTCCATACCTCTTTAAGAAGTGCTTCTTAGCGTTTTCGATCTAAAATTTGTTGTTTTGGGGCTAAATTTTTGCTTCAGAAGTTCAATTTCTCCTTCGTGATATATTCTGAATGCATAATGAGCTAACTTGGAGACCCACAGGTCGGAATTTTAATTAAATTATCACAAAAAATGTAAACAAAACACGCGCATGAGCAGAACGGACTTGACAGCCTCTTTAAATATTGGATGATTGATAGCTTTTGTTAACATGGATCAAATAATATTACAGTAATTCATTTTGGTAATAATAATTTACTCCGCCAATTGGTATATTTTAGCATCTATTAACGCCTCACCTTGCTGGCGGCATCTCCCCCCCTCCTGATTTCATTTTTTGGGCCCTTCTGAAACTCGCTAGCAGACGGCTTAATGAACGAATTTCCGAAGGGGTGCTCGACTTTAGTAAATCTAGGCACAATCTTTTTCTAAGGCGACTGGACCAAACGAAATACTGCACTACAAATCCAATTAAATTACTGGGCATGCAGTAGTTTCTTCCTCTAATCGTCTTGCAAATTGTTACATCATGTTCTATACGAATCTTATTCTGGCTGAAGGAAAATTAAAACAGCACAAGAAGAAATGAATACTTATATTTAGATAAAAGGAGTAATTCCACACGACTAATAGAATAGTTACAGGATCAGCCTGAAAGTGTCCTTTGCTTAACGGTCTATGATAATTTCTTACTCTTATGATACAAAGCATCCATTACTTTACTCATACTATGAATGATCTCCAAGCTATTCTCGTATGTTTTATCCACAGGGGAATGGTCAAAGATTATCAAAACGCCAGCACCTTGGTCAAGAATTCCTGTGAAGGTAAAAGAAATTTCAGGCTTCAGGCATTGAACTCTATACATACAGTATCTGCAGAAAAAAATCCCTATCCCTCACACAGTAAACGATTTAAAATCTGATATTAGTACTCAATAAATACCAGAAACGAAAGAACAGCTCAAAATTAGTAAGTACAAAAACATTGGAGGCTATATTTTAAAACTGTGACTGGTACTAGCGCTATTTTTAAGAACAATATAAACTTTGAAATTTTATTTGAAAAGATAAGGAACTTTTTTGCATAGCAGTGAGGACTGATGTGCCGTTCAATGCAAAATTCCCACGCTTCCCCTATTGAATTTATTGTTGCTAGAAAACGCTAGTGCCACAGTTTTTAAAACATAGCTTTCAAATTTTGTGTCCTGTTGTGTTTGTTCGACTTGCTCTTTTTATTTCTGGAAATTACAGTGCGCCAAAATGGACTCAAAAATCGTGATAAAGGTCTATTGATAAACGACTAGTTTTGGCCTTATAAAAGTCGACCAATGAATGTACGACGACATATAGTAACCCGTTGAAATAAATGTTGATAAAGGTAATCGTGTATTGTAACTCCTATGAATTTAATTAATACGGTTTGAGGGAGTTCAGACAGGGGCTTTGTGGTAGAGAAGATTTCTACTTAAAATTTATAGTGTCGGTTAAATCACTCACCGTGTAGTTTCGTATCCAAAATCATTTGGGATAACTTCTTTTCAACGATGTTCTGAAATAGAAAAAAAAAACAAGATGATCATACAATATCAATATCATTCTTACGAAAACAAAATACCTTCAAACTGCTCATTCCCCGGTATCATGAATATTTACCTTATCCAATTTAATGAGATTGGAAACATGATCAACCTGCAATAATGTCGTAATAAAAGTTAACGCAGTTAAACCCAACAATTTCATGGCATGCCTTCCAAAATAGGCTGGCGCAGCTCCGCTTGCTGGATCGCCACCAACCTACATGAGCAAGTTTTAAGAATCTCTCCTAACGTGTCAGAAACACCACGGAAGATCACCAGTAGTAAAGCCTGCATGCTTCCGAAGTTCGTTGGGGAATTTTCTCCTTCTGGTGGATGTGACTGAATGAGTGACATGCAAATACTGCAGCGACAGCGCGATTCCATACTTTTAGCTTCGAGTTCACTCATTCGCATTTGTCAGGAAGAGAAAATCACCACCAAAATTGCTACTGTGAACCAGGCTTGCGATGTAACAAGTTATTCATTGGAATGTTGTTTACTGTTAGGAAGTGATATATGTAGCAATCCTCGCCGCATCCCATGACAATAGAACTATGTACTTACCTCAACTTTGGAGAAAGGTTCCACAATACGGCACAGGTTTTGTTCAAGAAGGTTGTCATATAAGGTACCAAGATGATTCTACATATGACGCACAGTTGAAATTCAGAAAAATTAAGGATCAGGAATAGCAGGCTTCTGCCCCAAGTTGGAATTTAAAAGGAGTTACAGGTGATTTGGATGTATGAAATTTCTGATGCTTGCGCATACTGTAATTTGCTCGTCATAAATGCGATCTTTGTTCAACTGCAAGTTTTTACAAACAGACGAATTTGTTTACTTACTTGGATAATTGGATCTCCTTGTAATTCTTCTTTGTATGTTGCTAGTATCTAACCAATAAAAATTTAGAAGATGGTGAGTTTTGCCACGTGATATTCACGTTTCAGCACTATTCATTCGCAATTACATTTCCAAATTTGGAATATTTGGGCGGAATACTTGTAGACGCCTGCATGGGTGAAGTTACCTTTTTAAACTCAAGAAGCGAACGCTGATGGCTGGCATCGGCAATCTTTTTCATCGCCTGAAGCTAAAGAAACAAATATTTGATGAGCAGAGTAATCCAAGTCATCAGAAGTTTTATTCTAGTTACTACGTATGTTTTGATTGACTGCAGGTTGAGCCAGCGGTATGTAAGTTTATAGTAAGCGACTGCTTTACACAGAGGAAAACACAACAGTAACCTTTTAAGGTTACTGTTGTGTTTTCCTCTGTGTAATGCAGCCGTTTGCTATAAAATTACATACCGCTGGCTCAACCTGCAGTCAATCAAAACATACGTAGTAAAGATTAATAAAAATTAAAAAATAAAATTTAAAAATAATAAGATTTAATAATAAGATTTTAATAAGATTTAAAAATCTTTATTAGGCATTTGTTAGAGTCTTGGAGTATTTGTATTAGTTTTGTATTTATTAGTCGTTTGTACTGTACACAGTTAACACTGTACTGTACACGAAGAACATACGTTGCAAGGGCATTGCGGGAAAATCGAGTGACAAATTAATGCTTCCTAATGGGGGCAAGTAACGCTTTCTGATTGGCTAAAATCTCGTTGCCCAGATGTAAATTCTCATTCCCGGATGCAAAGCCGCGATGTTAATAAATATTGAGAAAATAATACAACTTTGAAAACATCGATTTTCTCCAGTTTTAGTATAGTTCAAGCGAGGACTAAAAGCTCAAATTCAAGAAGAATACCAGTCCTGGACTTTAATACAAAACAAATTGTGGAACGGTAGAAATGTTTTAAAGTGCTTTTTTCGATATTGAAGAGTGGTGTTTTCTTCGGCACCTCTAAATTTTTATCATTTGCCATGATATAAAACAGAAATTCCTCAATTTTAGGGTTAGCTTTGGTGAGGGAGGAAATCCGGAATACCCGAATAAAACCTGTCCAAGCACAGGAGCGAAGTTTTCGTACACCACATCAAGTGAAAACAGGTGGTCACGGAGGAGGCGAGTACTGCGCAAAAGTGCTGGCAGCGCGCTAACCGCATTTGTGCTTCCTAATTCTCCAGTCCTTACTCCATCAAACACGGCAGGGTTGTCCCGTAATCCAATTTTCTACTGTATACCACTGGGCAACGCTATACCACTAGGCAAAAGCAGGTGTTAATTTCTAAATCCCTAAAATTCATCCGTGGATCAAATGCAACAAAACTGTTTCCAAAAAATATCCTATCAGACAAATAAACAAACAGAAATAGTTGAAAACATACCAGTAACCGCTTTATAGCCGAGGTATATAAAATTATAAATGAAGTCAGTTGCGGTCGCTTCAAAAATTCTTACCGACGGTCCTGAATATTTGAGACCAAGCTTGCCACTGATAATTGACTGCACATCTTCGGGACTAAAAAAGTAAAATTGCAATTGTATCCCAAAACTATGTAGACTACGGTAGCAATATCAATGTAAAAATAAACAGTGGGAAATAATTTATTTAGTGTTCACACATGACCATGTCTGTTGGCTTACTAGAACGGCTATGGCTGCCACATGACGTTGTACAGTAGTACAACAAATGCTAAACTCATACAAATAATGCAATCTTATCAAACAGTCTACTTGGCTTCATTTGATCTTGACGTTTCACTTCCACAGTAAAAGCTTCAAAACTTTTGCGTCTTGGGATGTTTTTCTTTCTTACCTGTTTAACATAATCTTACAAAGCAACATGTATTTCAATGCAGCTGGAGCTTTAGCATTTTCTAGAGAATCATAGCCCTAAAACAACAACAAACAAGCATGAGGAAAAATATGTAAAACAGGGGCATGATGATGACGATTGTACTGTAGTGCAAGGAGTCCAGTGATCTGGTTTTGCCTATTGAACGGATCGAGAAATCCGATCTTATAAATGTAAATTTCCACCAGTTCTAGTCGCCCTGAGAGGGAAATTGACCAGTCTCCTGTTGGTTGGTCATGTGTCGACTTTTGTCTCCAGGAAGAGATAGAACTGGGAAAAGTTTGTATTAGCAAAACGATCTATTGGATAGCTAAGCAGTTTTATTGTATCCTCACTTGCAAGGGCCAAAGGGGACGAATATACCAGAAAAAATATTTTCAAGACGGCATTCCTATATTAAATTTGTCCCCTCCAACAGGCATACGATGGCATTCCTATACCAAATTCGTCCCCTCCAACAGGCATACGATGGCATTCCTATACCAAATTCGTCCCCTCCAACAGGCATACGATGGCATTCCTATACCAAATTCGTCCCCTCCAACAGGTATACGATGGCATTCCTATACCAAATTCGTCCCCTCCAACAGGCATACGATGGCATTCCTATACCAAATTCGTCCCCTCCAACAGGCATACGATGGCATTCCTATACCAAATTCGTCCCCTCCAACAGGTATACGATGGCATTCCTATACTAAATTCGTCCCATCCAATAGGCATGCGATGGCATTCCTAGACTAAATTCGTCCCTTTCGATAGGCATGTGATGGCATTCCTATACTAAATTCGTCCCATCCAACAGGCATACGATGGCATTCCTATACTAAATCCGCCCCCTCCGACCGGCAAACGATGGCATTTCTATACTAAATTCGTCCCTTCCGACCAGCATACGATGGCATTCCAATACTAAATTCGTCCTTTCCGACCAATTCTATACTAAATTCGTCCCCTTAGACCGGCATAGGGTGAATGCAGCAGAAATGAGTTATTACATGTTGTAAATATATGCGGGTGCAATAAAAGTTAGAACAGACCTCGAAAGCCTCATAAAAGTATGAATAGGCCGTTTTAAAGTCTTTCTCTTCTGCGTGAAGGATTCCTAAAAATGAAACATCGATACGCGCAATTATAGATAAACAGCGTGTCACATTTTCTCAATGGGCTGTTAACAGCCAGGATTTCTCAATTACCCACCAAGGATGATCATCTGAGCCATCCATCTAATTTGCACCCTAATCTAACCCCGACTCTAACGTCTAACCTAATCTGACCGGCCCTAATCTAACCGTAGCCTTAATCTTAATCTAAACCTTACGACCTCCTTTTTAATCTACTGTACAGTATGTATCCCACCCCTGTGCGTCCAACCTCCCATTTAAGGCAATTATCCCCAGAAGTCTTGTACTTTCGCGTGCAAAATTGGATGGCTCAGAGATGATCATCCTTGTTGGGTATCACCCGTATTTCTCAATTGAGAAATCCTGGCTGTTACCCGCGTTGAGAAAAATGCGACACGGGTGAGCTAAAATATTAAAGAACGTCAGTTCGTTTGGCAGAGGTGGGGAAGTAAAATCGGAACCTGGGAACCTATAGTTCCCAGAAATTTTAGGGGAATCTACATTAATTTCTGCAGACATTTTTTTATGTGTGATAGCTAATTCTGAGTATTACACTGATTGAATACCTCAATTACTAAATACCTGATTATTGAAATGCTTGAATACCTAATTAATTTACTAACTCGATGGGAACGAAAATATTCATATAGCCAGCCGTAGGAAATGTGTTTTTTTTTGTCATGTATAAGACTAACTATACTATGACTATATACTGTACTGGAGCATTAATCTAACTGCATGGTATTCCTTATCAGTCTTATAAAGACATATTACTTCACACGACAACACACCTTAATGAACATAATCCATATAAGGTAAAGAAGACAGTCACAAACGAGAATTTTGTTATTTTTCCTCATATTTTGTAATCTTTTCCAGACAATTTGGAGCCCTAAGAGTTACCAGGAAGATATATACGAAACACACCGCTTTTATAGGAAACGTGTAAAGGCATGAGTCACGTAAAAAGTAAATTAATAAACGTAAATATAGAAAAACCAAAGAAAGCACTATCAAAGGTATGTAGGCTGGGTACAGACACCAATGCACATTTAGGGA